GGCCCTTGTTTCTAACAGTATAAATTTTGGCAAGCTACTTTAAACCTCAGATTCTTTACTAATAATATGGGAATAACGATACTGTTTATTAGATACTTATAAAAATATGATAGTCATCAATTTCTAGAGCATAGTAGGCATTTAATAAAAGGGAGCTGTTATATAAGATACACACACATATGGATGCACACATGGATAGATAGGGAACTATTATATACATTAAAAAAGTTTAAGAGGAAACATTCCCTAGAATTGTTGACCCATAACAAAAATACTAGGGAGGAAAAGAGAAAAATTGTCAATTTAAAAAATCAAAGGTGCATCCAAGGAAGAGGAATTAGGGGTACATGAATGAGTTTGAAGTAATCTCTGCCCCTTACCCTATTCCAGGCAGAATGACGACCATGTAAAGTAAAAGTTCTTAAATATCTATGTCTTAGATCATTTTAGCGTTAGAAAGAAACCTAGGCAAACTGGTTTAGAATACCAGCCAGTACACAGTAACAGATAGACTTAATTAGCAGCCTCCCTACCAAGATATAGCAACAGGGATGTTGGAGAAGAAATACAATATTTCCAACTTAAAATGCCAGCCTGTTGCCTAGGCAGTAGATGATTGCCAAGAGCATGGGCATGGAAATAAGACCAAAAACCCCCTGCAAGCCCTGTTTATACTTTGTCAACAACACACCCTCCATCGTATTTACTCTGAACATTCCAGCCATCTCCTGGCGGTCTTTCTTCCCGGCTAACAAGGACTTTGGAACCGGGGCCCCTGCAGATTTCTCCTCCCTGGCACCTTCCCACCTCCTGTTGGAAAGCGGGAATCTTTTGGAAGGTTTTGTAAACAATGCAATCCAGGTGAATTGAGGCGTGTCGCTTGGTGCAGATGGAACTGGCACTCTAGAAAGCATGGATGGTGATGATATGTGACAGCAATTTTTCATGGCTGAGGTGAGGATTTGGGGCAGCTGATTGTGAAGATATTAAAACTGCCAGTGGAATGTTGTAATACATTTGCCAGGGCCCTACCATGGTCTGCTGACTAAATCCTAGTATATTCTTTAAAAACAGCTGGCCCCTCGTTCCCCACTCTTCTTCCCAGCCATCCATGGTGTGGAGTGGTGCTTAGCAAGTGGTGAATGATCCTTGCTCAAAGGCTGGGTCCAGTGATTTGGTAGTCTCCTGTTTCTTGGCATATCCTCTTGGTGTTGGAGCTAGAATTCCTCTTGGTATTTCTAACATGGCAAGGTAATGTTATGTTACCAAAGATGTTCCTTATGTGCAGTGTTGATGTTTCTGCTCTCCAGAAATAAAGATGGAGCAACATGAATATGTAAACGTGCAAGCACTGCAAACCACAAAAATGTTTGCTACCTCCTTTCGAAATTAAATGTAATTCCTTTCTTTTGCTCGGGGGAGGGTATCTGTAAAGTTTAGGGGAAAGTTGTACTATCCAAAATACACGTCAGGTTCAGATCTATTTTCCGTCTATTTAGATTTAACCAGATCTCTTTGTTATATTTATTTAGACAATTTGATGTGTTGTTAATACTCTTCCTAATCTCTTTGCATTAGGTGGAGACCCTGTGCTAGCTCTCTCCTGTACTTATGAATCGGTCTTTATCTTGCTGCACTCCCACAGCCCATGTGGCTGGAACTCATCAGAACTGCTCTATCCCCAACTCCTCTCTGTGCTCCAGTAATAAAGAATGAGCTGGATTTCTTTGACCCCAAACAGCCTCTCCCTTCCAAAATGATCATAAAGTGAAGGCCAGCACCCAGGGAATGGCCATAATGTGCACTTGTAGACACATTCTTTTTTGGAGTTGGCTGTCTTTAGTGCCAGGACATGTCAATCACTTGTTAATGGTTATTTTCCTTGTTGTTCCTGGTTATGTAGTATGACTTAAGAGACTGGCAGGAAATGGCTCCGTAGACCAGCATAATGGCTGTATTAGCACAACAGCATCAGAATAGCAAAATTGTGATACCCTCTCTCTGGACTATTCCCCCGGGATAAAATTTTATCACTAGTCTCTGATTCTCAGAATTTCTTTGCTCAGAGCCCAGTGTGATGAGAAGAAATAATAGGCAACAGGTAGCCCAAAGCCTTCTTTCTGTTCATATGTGAGGCGGGATTTCTAGGCAGTCTCACAGAAGCCCAGAGGCCCTGAGACTATATCTCACTTGCTTATAAAGATTATCTAGTCAACTGGAGAACACGTTCATTGCCTGAATTACAAACTCTTACCAATATTTTTTTGCTCTTTCAACTCAAATGAGGCAGATTCATTAGGAAGAAATAGACTTGTATGCCTAGCCTTTGTTTGGGGTTTATAATCTATAATTTCTATGGGTATGGGTCCATGTTTTACAGACCAAACAGTGGAACATTTGGTCTGACAATGGCAAGGATATTTGAAACTGGGAACTCTCTCAGAAGGTTCAGGAACACATGGTCACTGAGTTGCTCAATCCGCTGTCCAAGGCATTGCCCCTTCTGGCGGTCTTTTGTGGGAAACTAAGTGCCTTTTTGCAAAAGTGGATTTAGGCAAATTCTTCATAGAGTCATAAATAACATTTTCTTGCAAAAAAAAATAAGGTGCACCCTTTTTTCCCCTTGCAGAAATAGACATCTTGAGAAAGAAAGCAAGCCTGTTTTTAAAATATGGATTTGTTTGGAACACCTGAGAGTGTGAAGACTTGAGGGGGATCAGATTTCAATTGTTCCTGTTTTAAACCTGGCCAGGTACCCCCTCATTTCATAGCCTGCAGCTCTGCAGCAAGCCCTGACTCCCTTATTAAGATCTTAATTACAGATGCAGCTTAGTTCATTGCTGAAGGGGAAGAATTTCATTTCTCTGAACTCTGTCTGCTTTTTGGTGTGGTAGGTGTAGTCATGATGAGATCATTTCTGGTTTGTTTTCTTTTCCTGGAGGAATTTTTTTTCTGAGGGGGAGGAGAATGTTTAAGACAGTTTCATGAGCTCATCAGAATACAAGTCATAATAACTGTGCTCTGATTTTATAGAGATCCTTTCTTGTGAAGAGATCAGAGCACTTAACGTATATAATTTCATGAATCCTGATAATATTTCTATGAAGAACATATTTATTAGCCCTGTTTTACAGATGAGGAAACAGAGGCACCAAAGGTGGGGATTTCATTTTTGTTGTTTTGCAATCAGAGGACTGAAGCTAGATTCTTCTAATTCACTCTTGTGGCCCTTTCTCCATTCAGGGGTTCTCAGTCTCAGCATAGCTGTCATGTAGATCCAGGTAATTCTTTGGTGTGGGACCATCCTATGCATTGCCAGATGATCAGTGCATCCCGGGCCTCTACCCACTAGATGCCAGTAACACACATGTACTATGACAACCAAAAAATGTCTCCAACTATTACCAAATGTCCCCTGGTGGACAAACCCCGCCCCCCAACTTGAAAATTACTGTTCTAATCTCTCCTACTTCCTTCTGTTTAAAATTAATTATCTTACTGGTTTTTTGTGATGAAAGCCTAAAACTACCTCCAAGAAAGTTTTTGCCACAATTTTATCATGACTGAGGCTGAGCTTAATTAACAGGTCTTAACCAAAAAGTACCTTCCTCTTCCAGGATTATTCCCAGTTTGTTCATGTGAATACCAAAAATACTAAGAAGTATAAGAGCTCCCTCAAGTAAAACCCTGAAACCATCTCTAAAGCTCCTAATTCTAGACACACTCCTGTGATTCTAGCACTTTGGGAAGCTGAGGAAGGAGGATAGTAAGTTCAAGTCCCACCTGGGTAACTTAGCAAGACCCTGTGTCAAACCGAAAAATGAAAAGGAAGGATATAATCTAGTGCAAAGGCCCTGAGTTCAATCCCAGTACTGCAAAAATAAATGAACAAATAAAGCTACAGATTCTCCAAGAGCCTTTTCTGGCTTCTCTCTCCACACATACACCTAATCTTGGAACATGCATCTAGAACTACACCATTAAGAAAGCTGTTTTATTCTCATAAACTGGTGTAGATCATGTACATGTAAGAGCTCGTCTACACACCCAGGCATTAAACAATTCCTTTGAGGATGGCTTCTGTTCCATTTGCTCCTGCCATTTTTCCTTTGCCTGCAGAGAAGCTACAATTTCTAAAAGTTTATCCTTCAGGCAGCTCCGCAGCAGCAATGCACACCTCCCAGTTGAGAGTGTGGATCTACAGGTGAAGTAGATAATGGCAGTCAGGGACCAAACTCAGATCAGATGTCATCTAAAACTGTCCAAGCAAGGGGCAAGTTCCCCCAGTTTCATCAGCTGGCTTCTGGCCAGGAGACACACAAGGCTTGTGGGTCACAGTGTGGGTTTGGTGTGGGCCGCACACCTTGGTGCAGGCAGGGAAGATAAATGGGAATGTAAAACTAGAAAATCATTTCCTTTTTTCAAGTGCTTTATTGGATGCTATAACTTGTGCATTTTGACTTTTGAGAAAGGATATCGTTTTTGGAAATATACCATAGTAGATTGCATTGGAGTCAGATGCTTCTTTATAACTTAATTCTCGTTTCTCTTCCCCAAGTACCTGGCTCTGTCTAGACAGGCAGATAGATATGATCGGTGCCAGCATTGTAATGCTGGATGAAGTCCAGATGGCTTATCGTTAATAAAACCTATCTTTTGCGTGAGTGGGTGTCAGTCCTTTATCATTATATGGCGCCTGTCAGATTTATCTAGGGACAGAACCCTGAAAAGAGTTTGTTTTTGATCTTCTGCCAATATTCTGTACTGAAAGCTATCAAAACCAGGCAACCTGGGATAAATGCTTATAAATTCCAAGGCTTAATAGCAACAACGATAAATTCTAAGATGCAGAAGATTCTCAGGAAGGGCATCCTGGTGATGGAGAGTGTTGATAAAGAGGAGAACCAGATGCTATCTCTGACTCTGCTGTTAATCTAATCAAAGACCCCTGGAGGGATAAAACAAAAAGACTGGCCTAGAATGGTCCCTTCTTATTTTAAAATACTATTCTAGTCAGTTCTGGTCAAGCCATGGGTGACTTCTGGTTCTAATACTCATAGTAACTTAGATACTTTTCTGCCTTATTTAGGACCCTTAGAAAATGCTTCAGTAAAACAGTAAATCTCAAAGACCACAGATAAGTGGAAAATTAGACTGTTTTACACACACACACACACACACACACACATATGATTTATGACTATTAGACTTGTGAGAGGAAGTTAACTTATTTTCCTTGAATATTGTCAGCAGTGAAATTTATTTTCTATCATGATTAGCTGTGAAGCTGCAGACATACACACACACTCACCTATTTATCCATTTGCGACATTTCTTACACAAAGCAAAGATTTGCTCTAGGCTTTGGTTTCATGGCAAACAAATCTCAGCATATGAGTGCCTCTGTCCTCTGTCAACCTGAAATCAAAAGAGTAAGTGGCAGTCATTCAAATGAAGGGAAGGAGAGGAGCCCAACATCTGCAGAAACACTTCTTAATCTCACAGCCCTGCTGCTCTTATTGAGCTTAAGTTTTTTGTTTTTTGTTTTTTTTTGTACCGGGGATTGAACTCCGGTCCTTGCGCTTGCAAGGCAGGCGGCAGAACCACTGAGCTAAATCCCCGGCCCTGAGTTTAAGTTTACAAAGCTTGAAGAACCGGGCTGGGGAGTGGTTCCACTGCCTGGCTCAAAAGCACAAGGACCCAAGTTTGATCCCTGGTACCAAAAAACAAACAAACAAGAACCTAAGAAAATTCAAGGGTGGGGGGCAAATTGAATAACACGAAGATTTAGAGAGAATCCACAATATTCATGTAAGCATTGTGGCCATCATTAGGGTTTAAAAAAAGCAGCTTCCAGAAAAGAAGAATTATTGGCTGAAATGCCAGGTGCAAGAGGAGTCTTTCATAGTGAAGGTTGAACATGATTGCCCAGGGGTTAGAAGTCATGAGAAGCAGGACTTCGTGGGACCCGTTCCTGTTGTCTCAGTGGGCTAATTCGGATCACCCAGTGGAAAGTGTATCAAGGTGCAGTCAACACCTATTATTCAGAAAATACTCAAATCAGACCTAACTTCTAATTCCTGCTCTTGAAAGTTTCATGTCTGCTATTTAGCAATATACCCAAGGGAAAAACAACTTACGAGAAGGAAAGGTTTATTTTGGCTCACAGTTTCAGAGGTTTCAGTCCATGGTTGGCTGGGCCCCATTGCTTTTAGGCCTACTAAAAACTTCACTAGAAACATTGTAGTGAAAGGAGGAGGCAGAGCAAAGCTGCTCACTTCTTGGCAGCCAAGAAGGAAAACCAAAAGGAAAGAGCCGGAGGAAGAGAAAGGAAGGGACCAGGGGCAAGATATCCCCTTCAAAGGTACAGCCCGCAGTGTGGCCCGCTTCCTCCACAGGGGCCCTGCCCCCTAAAAGCCCATTCAGCTGTGAGCTCATCCCTGGAGGTCCCGAATCCACACGATCCAGCCACCACTCTAGGGCCTACGTCTGAGCACAGCTGCATGGATCAAGGCCCTCAAAACATGAAGGCCCTTTGCGGGGGGCACTTCATGTTTAAACCACAACAGAACCCAGTTCAAAAAACTGAATATCCCAGATATTCAGACACAGACCTACGTATAAGCCAAGTGTCCCAAGAAGCAAAATCCTGACACCTGTAGACATCCCCTGTCGTCTGGCAATGGCTCTCTCCTTCTTTGGCCCCCTGTATCTGAAGGCAGTAAAACGGCAAAAGAGGGAGGTAACTGAAGGGTTTGAGGGAGGGTTCTCAGAGCAAAGCTGATTTCTGATTTCCTTTAGAACGCACAAAAGCCTTTCTTTTTCTCCCCCAGCCTGCCCCAGGGCTGACCTCGAAGCTGTTCATCCCTCCAGGGCTTCCTTTAGGACTGATTTGCTTGACAATGGCCATTTCCTTTAGCGAGTCTGTTTCTCAGGGTCTGTTTTCTGTGCCTGTGTGCACGGGCGCGCGCGGGCAAAGGAATCTACCAGAGCCCAGGGCTAATGTTCTGGGGGTTGGGTACAAGGAAAGTCTTGTCCTCAAGTATGGAGCAGCCCTGCGGCCTTGGCAGGAAGGATCTCCTGTATAAATATAGAATGAAGTAAAAATAATAAGAGGAAGCCGAGCCATTGATGATGCGATCCGTCTTAGTGAGTGACACACCAGCCATTGTGTCTCATTTCTCTTCAAAGAACAGCATAAATGGTCATGGAAACTACACGTCACACCTCTCTCGATTGGGAAAAGCAGATAATTTCCCTGGCAGTAGGAGTAAGAAGCTTTCTTGACATTTTGATAGCAGTGGAAAAAAAGAAAAGGTGGGGAGGCATTAGAGGCAGGTGGAGGGGGAGAAGCTGCCACGTACCCTGTTTCTGGACTGGCCCTTCTGGCCCATTTTCCGTCTTCGCACTCCTTGGGCATCACTTGGAAACCAGGAATAGCAGAACCGCAGCAGTGTCCCGGCAGTGTATGAATGGTACTCTGTTGCCTACCTCCAGATGCGGATTGCCACACTAAAGAGAGAAAGCCCTTTAGAGAGGCCATTGTGTTTCGCCTCACTGGGATGGTCAGTTCCTCTTGGCCTTCGTGTTTGCTCAGTAGTTACAAACACTGGGTTCAGGGCGGTCAGGCCCCCATCTGCGTCATTACCCTGTTTAAACAGGGAGGGGCAGGGCTTTCCTTCTGCTGTCTCCCATACTCTGCCTGTCAAGCTTGAGTGACTTGGACACACCATTTATCTTTCTGCACAGGTCATCTACCTTCCATACTCCCATCTGAAATCTTGAATTAAATGTCTTGCCAAATTCTCTAGAAAGAGTTTCAACCTCCCTGCAGAGAACCAGGAAATCAGAGGCCAGAATCCGTTTCAACTTAGCAGACATGGGATGAGTGTGTATTTTGTTTTAGACACTGGGCTAAAGTTCTGGGAAGTGGAGAAGGAATGAGACAGCATCCCTGAATTTAAGGAGTTTCACAACCTTGAATGGGGCAAACCAAGCCATACTGCACAGAAAGGGAAACAATCAGATAGATTCTGGACGTAATTATTGTGGTTATATAGAAGATAGATTTTTAATGGGAAGGTTAAATTCAAGAGAACCAGGTGGGAAACAATTTCTATGCTGGGGAGGGGGGTGCAAAAAGTGGCTGAGGAGGGAGCAGTAAGGGGGCATGCAGAGCCTGCTCACAGGTTTCAAGTTGTGGAAAGACTCAGCAAACCTCCGGCTCCCGCCTGGGGCGGCTGCATGCTGTGTTAACGAAGTCAAGCAGGCAGGCTAGAAGTTGTTTGCATATGACTAAAGATCTGAACTGAAAGGCCGTTAGTTAGATGCCCTTTAGTTAGACAACTGGAGAAGGGGCTGTGGATTTAGATGTGCTGTGTCCGGATGCCCTTGCAGAGATGAGATTTTGTTTAGAGAGCAAGGGTGCAGATAGGTGCAAAGGAGAGATTCCTTGGAGGCACAGTGGAAGTGGTGTGTGATGCAGAAGGGAGATGCAGGGTCAAGAGAAGAGGGAGAGCCAGGGAGTGGTATTGTGAAAGCCAAAGGAAGAGTTTTTAGAAAGCTTGGAGCCGGGATCCATGCTAGACGGGGTTAATGATCCTAAATACCAAAATCCAACCCCGAGTAGAGCAGCAGCTTTTATAGCCTGTGTCTTTGACTTTACAAAACGCCACTCTAATGCTGAGCTTAAAGGTAAGAGGCCTGGCCATTCATCCCAGTCCTCAGGCTTTCTTGCAAGGTGAGTTGGCAACTCATTAACTTCTTGAGCCTCCCTTTTCTTATTGGTGAAGTTAGAGTCGGACTTAATTGTTTCAGGTTCCTTCCAGCTTTCAGGTCCTGTGCCCTACCCCAACCGGTCTGCCCTAGCTGCCTCTAACTGCCAGTCTCTGGAGGCTCCTCTCCAGGTGGGTATAGGATTACATAGCTCTCTTATCTCCCTTGATGTGTTTCTGTGTTAACCTTTCCTCCCCTAGAGATAAATATCCTAGGGGCTGGGAGGTTGAGAAATAGTAGACCTTGAATGGACAAACTGCCTCTCTGGGGTTTTTCTAAGATAGTCAGATAATCGGCTTCTGACTTTGTGGCCTCAAGGAGTCCCGCCTTTGCTCTAATGAGGAGCATCCTTCTTTTCCTCCTGCTGGAAGAATTAACTCTTGATCTGGCCCCTCAGGAGTTAGCGCACTCCTGAATGAGATCTGTTCTGTTCCAGGTGAAGTGAATTTGTATTTCCTGTTCCCACTGAGCTCTTGACCCAACACCAAGTATGTTCAGAGGCTGAGCTCCTTCTTCGTGACATTTCCTGCCTTCCAATGTATTGTATGCTGCCGGGATTTATCCATAATTTATTAAGTAACATCCTCGACCCCATCTTCATTCATACTATTCTTTTGTCTCAGAAAGTCTCTTGAATGCAACCTGTGCTTTCATTATTGTTGTTTGTAGGGACGGATACACATAATAGCATCCTTAGAATACCACAACCCTTGACTGAGAAGCAAGAGGAGGCCGAGGCAGTGGAAAGCTTGGAGCCCAGGGGCCATCAGGCAAAGGAAATCAGATAAATGAGAGCTGGTCAGAGCCTGCTAAGTCTCAGGCAATGTTGAAGCACTTTGCTTAAGTTAACACACTTAAACCTCCAGCAAACTCTCGAGACGGTCTCGAGAAGGCTATGGTTCTGTATAGGAGGGTGGCTCAGTGTAGAAACTGCTTCTCTGTAGGCTGCACTACAGAGGTTACAGGGCGCCAAGGCTGAGGATGGCCATCCACGCTTGAATCTGTGTCTGGCTGGTGCCATGGTCCCCACAGTCAGCAGCCACGCCAGGCTGTCTTTCTGCATACGGGTCTCTGGGCAGCAGTGACCACAGGGAAGTCGAGTGAGGGGTCGGGAGAACTCCCCTGCAGTGCCCACCGTGGCACAGAGCAGTCACACCAGGGGCAGCTCCTGAGGCTCCTGTAGACACAGGGTGTGCAGCCTCCCCGGTGGGGGAGGTTACTGGGACAGGAGACAAAGAGCCTCCAGAAGGACTCCCAGGGATTTCTATCTGCCTCTAATCAAGCCCAGTCTGGCACTCTGCTCGGTGCCTGTGGTGTCAGCGGAGTTGGAAGTGACCCAACTCCAAATACCTCCCCTGATTTCTGCTGATTGGGTCTGTAGCCCTTTGCCTGTCCACTGTTTTCTGTTTCTCTTCTTTCCTTTCTCTGTAGCCAAGATAATTGCACAGCAGTCACCCTCAGCTCCCATACGACTGGCCCTGACGCTGACTTCCGATTTCATCTAGGGGCTTCCTTACCAGCCAGCCCCAATTACTGTGAATGTCCCCAGGAGAAAGGGATAGAGACCAGAGTGGCCAGTGCCCTCTCAGCTGTCCAGTCTCAGTACAACCAGGGTGAAAGCATTTCCCTGAGATCATTTTGATACAAAGGACCAGAGCCTTGTCCTCTGTACCTCTATGACTTTTCTTTTTAAATTACAGAACACCCACAAATGAAAGAGAAACAGGACCCTTTAGGATCATGACACATCCTGAAATGGTTCCATCAATGGATAGGGTCTTACCGGATTGTATCTTTTTGAATGTGAACTTTTTCATTGTTAGAAGGAACCCAGGGCTTCCTAGAATATAGCTACTAAGTAAGACTTTCACCTGAAACGCAAAGTCCTCAGTTTCCTTTTAGCTTCCCTTACAGTTCACCTGTTAGGTACAGAATTCCAGGTTCTCATCACCCCTGAGGATTTCAGTCCTCTTCTGGGAGATCTAAGCTTCCCAGGGCTGGCATTTGTGACCCTATCGCTCTTCCTTATGTTAAATAGCTGCCCTGACTGAAAGGATCCTGGTGAACAGCAATGGAATCGGACTCCTTCCCAACCCTGACCACACACCCAGCCACTCCATAGCAGAGAACACCCCACAGCACTACTCCTGCGCCTACAGGCAGAGCACAGAGCCAACAGTTATTGTGTGTCTGTTTTAAAGAAATGAAAAACATGAGGCTGAAAGATCAAGCCCACATTTCAAGAGAAGAAAACAGGGGGCCAAATTCCAAACAAAAACAGCCCGAAATTCCACAAATACATTATGGTGTGTAATAAAGTCACAAGCGTGCTCCAGCCAATCAGCAGTTCTTTCTTCCATAAGTGACCCCACTGCAATGCCATTAAGTGCATCCAGACATTTTAACGAAGCACCAGAGAGATCACTTCATTTTCTGAGTGCCTGCGATGAATTTACAATGTTGCCTGACTTCTCCATGCACTAGGAAGGGGGCAGGCGTGCGGGAATGGCTGCCCGTGTGCTGGGAAACATTCCTAACGCCAAGAAATGAGATCTGCAGAGCCTTTGAAAGCCTTCCAGGAATGTCAGCACGTACTGCCTGCCCACTCTGCTGAATGCCTACTTTGGCTGTCTGCTTAGTACTGAATGTGCCAGACAGGCCTTCATACAAAGACGGAGAGTGTTTTAGGCCCATGAAAGGGGGAGGCAGAGCCTTTCCGATGTGAATGGCGAGATTCAAAAAGTAGGCTATAAAGTGGCAGAATGAGGAAGGGTCCTCAGCAGAGGTTTGAGCAAAAGACCAAATGAGAAAGAGCTGGCATCTGCCTCTGGCTCCCCACTGTCCAATCTGGAGACACCAGCTGCTTTCGCACTATGTCCACGCTTGGTCATCACGCCCCGTCTATACGCCTTGCTTGTCGATTCCCCATATCAGGGGGCCTCTTGATTACCTGCAAATAAGATTCTGTAAGCCCTGCCAAGGCACATATAAGTGTACTTTTGTTTGCATTTCAACACTGAATATAAATGCCATTTGTAGTGTGTTATTTGGGATTTCCTTTGAGTCTTTTTACCTCCAATGTATGAAATAAATTGAGAAATGCCCACTGTGGTCCATCTGAATAGCTTGGAATATTTTTTTCCCCTTAAGCTCACTTTTTAAAAGGAAAAAAAAAATGTTTTGCATAGTGAACCATTCGCTAACTCTTTAGCAGCTACTCATAATTCCTTGGCACAGTGTCAACCACTAAAGGAAAGAACTCTTGTGGTGTTTTGAGGTTTTCCGAGGAGGCAGTCTGATGTCATTGGTGGCAGATACAGCATGTATGTATCTGTCTTTTGTCTGCACCATCTGTTTTTCTCCTTATAGGCTATTGTTCAGATTTCTCTTCACTTTTTCCAGGAAGTGATCCTCTCCCTGAGAGTGTGGGCTCTAGGTGTTAAAGGGACTGAGCTAATAGTCTAACACTGTTTCCCTCTGTTATTTCTTCCTAGAATCTTATGGCAAGGGCCTTATATGACAATGTTCCAGAATGTGCTGAGGAGCTGGCCTTTCGCAAGGGAGACATCCTGACTGTCATAGAGCAGAATACTGGGGGACTAGAAGGATGGTGGCTGTGCTCCCTACACGGTCGGCAAGGCATTGTCCCTGGCAACAGGGTGAAGCTTCTGATTGGTCCCATGCAGGAGACCCCCTCCAATCACGACCACCCTACTTCTGGACCCATGCACCAGACCTTTGGCCAACAGAAGCTCTACCAAGTGCCAAACTCACAGGCAGCATCTCGTGACACCATCTACCAAGTGCCACCTTCCTACCAGAATCAGGGAATTTACCAAGTACCCACTGGTCATGCTGCCCAAGAACAACAAGATGTATATCAAGTGCCACCATCACAGAGAACCACTGGGGGCACCAATGGTTCCCACTTAAGTAAAAAGGTAAGTGACTAACTGGAATTCTGTTTCTACTTATTTTTCTCTCCCACTGCATTTGGAATAATAAAAATGTTCCCATAATAGTACTGTAAACTGCCAAAATGTAAATATGCCAAATGTCCTAACCCAGGCATCATTTTGTATCATTTTGGCCTTCATCAGCCAACAAAACTTTCTTGAACACGTACCAAGTCCTATTTGCTGTAGCTAAAGTTCCTGTGTCATTCTGGACCCTACTGGGTCATAAAATTATTTCTGTCCCTCTTTGTGATACATCTGTTTCTAGACCTGCATTCTGTGCTAGAAGAGTTTCCAGTCTTTTTTATTTCTTCCTTGAGTGGTACAGGGCACTCAGTCTTATACAAGCCAGTGATGCAACAAGGATCCCCATTGGCCAAAAGCTGAATCATGACCCCATTGACATGCTTGGACAAAGAGCCGACCAAAAGTAGAGGGAAACAGAAGCTGAGAGTAGGTCATGCCCACAAACTCATTCCTTAAGCTGGAAGTTTAACTTACCTAAAACACTTAGTAAGGGATTTGAAATGATTCTTATAGTAGTACCCAAAGGAGGGGGTGAAAATAGTGGAGCTTGGATATTTAGGAAGATAGCAAATTTTTTAAAAAAAAGAAAAACAAGAAAAAGGTGGTGTGTTAGTCAGCTTTTCATCACTATAACCAAATACCCAAGGCAGTTAATTTTATAAAGAGAAAAGGTTTATTAAACTCCTACGTGTTTTCACTATTCATGGGCATGGCACTGGCATTGGCTCAGTTCTGAAGCTCTCCCAGCTTTAAGTCACATCATGGTGGAAATGTAGGTGTGTGAAAGGGCTTATATCACGAAACAGGAAATCAGAGAAAGAGGGTGGGTTCCACAGTCCTTTCTGAAGACATGCACCCAAGGACCTGGCTCCTCCCATCAGGCCCCACCCCCCCAGAGCATCCCTCTGGAACCCAAGGCTCTCATCACAGTAGAGTCTTAGGGGACACTCAGACCACACCCAAACTGTAGCAGGTAGGGCGGTCATATCCATAGTCTTTATAATCCCCACTACCATAATAATTTAAGATAAATAGAAATGTGTTAATGAAAGCATGAATGTTGAGCATCTAGTATATTATTGTGGCTTGTGATACAGTGATGAGTGAAAAGAGTGGTCAGAGCCTTCACAGTGCTCACATTAAAATACAATACTGTCAGGTGGATGTACATGCAGTGAAGAAAATAATAATAGCAGTGGATCCATGGGGCCAATAGCCAAAACCAAGGTGATGCTTTTGCACACATTACAAAGGTTTTTTTCCTGTAATTTACTAGCAAATTCCAGTGGGTCCTTCAAGGTTTGTTACTAAGAATGGCCTGATTTACTAGAATAAGAAAACAGCTCCAAATTATAACAAGAAGGATGGAGTTTGATAACCAGAAAAAGCTTGTTGGCTCTCAGAACACTAAATGTAGATGTGCCTTGCCTAAGAAAATCTAATACAAAGTCTGAAATTACAAACCCATATAAATTAGGGAATATCTATTTCCATGATACCAGAATGTACTGTTGAAAAGGGGGGGGGTAGAGATTTTTTTGTTAGATTCCTTTCAATTACAAAACCATGAATGCATTTTCTAATTACCTTTTATACAAAAAAATATGCTGTTAAACAAAACACTTCTCCAGGGCACATAATCTGAGTATATCCAACAGGAGGAATTCTTCAGGAACTGATGAATAGCTCTCCAGCCTGCATTTCCCAGGGTAGCAGTGGGTGGCTGGAGGCCACAGACTGAGCCCTGAGCTTTCGAAGTCCTTCCTACCCCAGAGATGCAGATGCAAAGGGAAAGCCAAACCTGGCCTCTATCTCCAGAGGGTAGGAGAACAGTTGCAAGGTGTACCTATAAATAAATAACTTCTCTCATTCTTAGTCTTGGTTGCTTGCACCTTAAAAATAGCTCTCCCTCCCTGGGCTGAGCTGGTATGAGGCAGACAGGGAAGGCCAGAACAGGAAATGCTTGGCTGAAAGGTGTTGAGCCTAAACTTTCGTCACAGTTTATTTTGGCAGGAAGGTGACATGTTTTCCTTTTGAGACTCAACCTTTGCAGATCCAAGTCTGAGAAGTCTGAAACTTCAGACTTCTCCCCATGTGTGTGCTGTAACTGCGCTATGGACTTTCTCCTGGGCTCCCACCCAGTCCAAGGGCAGAAACTTTAACTGGCCTTCCCTTGGGTTGATGTCCGAGGGCCGGGTTGCTGGGGTGACTATAGAGGACTCACACTGCACTCCGTGTGTTGTTAAGTCGATGCTGAGGGGAACACTTTGTGCCTAGCAAAGGTGGGCCAGTGCTGTAGGAGCCGCCCACCTTCCAGAACGGACTCCGAGGGGACACTGGCAGAGTGCAAGCATGGGTGGCGTCTGGGGCAGGGGCACGGGGCAGCTGGGGTCTGGGTGGCATCGTGGTCATGATGGAGGTGCCGAAGGGTGGTCCTGGCTCCTACCCTGCCAAATACAAGCGCTCTTCGTGCTGCCCTGAACTCCCCTTGAAAGCATCTATGAGCCCAGGGTCCCTAGGCTTCGTAAGCTCCATCCACTGTTCCCTGGAGCAGGGGGTCACACTCCCACTCCCTCCTTTTCTTTTTCTTCCTCCTCCTCCTCCTCCTGTCCTTTCTTTTCCTTTTTTGGGGGGGGGTGTACCGGGGAATTGAACTCAGGCCCTTGCGCTTGTGGTGGAACCACTGAGCTAAGTCCCCAGCCCCCTCTTTTCCTTCTCCTTCTTCCTCTTCCATTTTTCTTTCCTCTCCTCCTCTTCCCCTTTCCTGCTTGCCTTCACTTCCTCCTTGCATTCCTTTTTTTCTCCCTTATCTCCTTCCCTTTATCTCTCCCTTCCTTCTTTCTTTTTCCTTCCTTCCTTTTTTTCTTTCTTTCCTAGTAGAAATGATTTAGCTGCAAGAGGTGATTTTAACCTCCCAGGTAACAGTTACTGCTTTGAAAACTCCTGCCATCTTCCTTGCATAGGGACGGTGCCACTGCCAGAGGCCAAGGCCCCAGGCGATATCTCAGGCAGTGATATGCATGATATTGTTTTTGTTTTGTTTTGCTTTGTTTTTGAGTTTACTTGTAGCAGTTTTATTGAGTTGGCAAGTAAAGCAATTTGCTTCTTTTCTCTTTCAATTATTTTTCCTTTCTCACTTGCTCATTTTCTGTTCTAATTTCTCATCTGTAAAATGGGGGTAAACCTGAAACTAGATGTTCCTTGTGGTTTAAGCTATTGTCCTCAAAAGCTATTCCACAAGAAAATGAGGAGGCCGGGGAACCTTGTTCTGAATCACTGAAGTGTAGGTTTAGAATTTTAATGAACACAGAGTCACTCAGAGAGGTAGAGGAGTTCAGTACAGACCCCCGGGCCCTTCCCTCAGATCCATTCTCAAGCAGCAGGTCTGAGTGAGAACCCAGGAATCTGCATTTAATCGGGCTCCTTTCGTGGTTCAGTGGGAGGTGGCCCAAGATTACACTGATAAATACTGTAAGAGGAGGACCATGAAGGCGACTGGAAGTGTTCCAATCTGATTGTGATTCGGGACTTTCCGTAGTTCAAAATTCCCTCAGTGTTGCTGCAGACTGTGGGCTTCTGAAGTTTTATTCACTGCAGTTTTTTTCTACCAATGAATCATTTAAGTAAAAAAAAAAAAAAAATCAGTGAATTCTGTTGAGCGTCATTTCAGCCTTGCTTTCTGGGAAACTTAGCCCCGCCCACGCTGCCGGCATCCACACTGCCTGACAGACACCTCGCTTCTGAATCAGCGCTGAGAGCGGGAACCCTCGATGAAGCAGGGAGACCTCCTGGCTCTTGAGACAGCCTGGGCCCCCCGGGGTCTGCCTGGCTCCTCGCTCTGGGTCTTCGTAGCCTCTCTCACCTTTGTAAAAAGGGGGGAACCATGTTTCCCGCCCAGGGCTGTTCGGAAAATGAAATGGAACGATACATAGAAAACACCTGCCACGGTGCCTAGTAGCGTGGAGGCTTAAACCCGAGCTGCCCTCCTCGTTTGGCTTTCCTTTCTCGGGGTTTATTTTGCCCTGCCTCAGCCTTGCTCATGTTACTTATTTTACACCAAACATGCGCACACTGCATTGCTGCCAGCACTTATGCTCGGCCTTTGAGCCTGTAGCGCTCTCTTTGCTCCGCAAGAATTCAGTGGAGGGTGGAAAAGATCTCTCTTGAGTTATCTGGAAACCATCCACACTGACACCTTTACTTAATCTCATTGGTCTTTTTCAGTCTGGGTTTTCTGAGCAGGGCCATTTTCTCTATTAGGCACTGTAGGCAGAATGCCCAGGGCCTGCGAGAATGAGAGTTGAATTAAAAAAAGTAAAAGAAACTTCTGGCTTCAAAGTATGACATGCAAAAACTGCAAAGTAGAAATTAACAAACATTTAGACCAAAGTCTAGGAAACAGCATTACAGCACTTCATTAATTGTGCTATTTAGGGCTATGACTATTCCATTACATTTGAAAACAATTTGTAAGTAAGATTTTTCTCACTTTGTAAAGATTCCTAAATATGCATCTCAATTGCCAAGAACTCACAGGCAATTCTAAATTAAATGAGTTACTCACAGTCAAATCATTCGAAAGGCTGTATTATAAAGGAAAAAAAAAAAAGAACGGAAAAAAGTAGTCAATTTTTTTAAAGCAAAAAATTCTACTTATGATGGGAGCTTGGTTCAGAATGGCGCCTCCAAATGCCCAAAAGTCAAAGGTTCAAAATAGCCTCGTTTCTTGGTTTCGAAGACCAGTACAACAGCAGCTTGAGTGCACTGTCCTTGTACTCAGTCTACACAGAATTATGTGTTTCTCTTGTGTTCTTTGGGCCTGTTGGCTTTTTTTTGGAGACAAGCCTCGCTATGCAGTTCAGGCTGGCCTTAAAACTCACAGCAATCCTCCTGCCTCAGCCTCCCAAGTGCTGGGATTCCAGGCACGTGGCACCATGCCAGCCAGGCCTGTTGGTGGAATTAGATTGGCCTTGCCTCCTTCTAAGGATCGGTAAATTGTAAGCTCCAGCCGGAGCTGTGACTCTTCTTTTGCATAGGCCGATCACACAGCTGAGTCTGGGCACAGAGATGCTGAATGAATGGACAGTAGAGAAGCCAGAAGCCAGTAAAGGTGACTTTGAAGTTCACCACTGAAAGGTTGTTGGGGTCTTATCACCCACCAGCCGTCACACTGTTCTGATCCACCAGCCAGGTCCTTACCCCGGGCTGTGCCAGATGCAGAGAAATACAGCCGTTTCCTACCAGCAGGGCCTTTCAGAAGTCACCACCCATTCTCTGTAACCTGACTCTGTGCAGTAAGTACGCACCTGAAGCGAAGTCTGAGTGATGAGAGGCTGGGCTGGTCCGAGGGCCTTACTCTCGGTACATTTTGCCCCAAATAGCTGCAAGATTAAGTTACCTCTTTTATAGTCACCTAGAGAGAAAATCTAGATTCTTCTGCTGAGCCTCAGAGTTTCCTTTTCACATGCTATGGGTGACCTAGAATGTTTTATCCCCTCTAATCTGCCTTGAGCTCCTACTCATCCTTTAAAACCCATTGTAGCATTCCTGACCTCTGTGAAGCTTTCTCTCTGTATTTTCATTCTTGTGGCACAGGGGTGGAATCCAGCACCTCCAGCATGCTAAGCAAGCAGTCTACCACTGAGCTCCACCCCCAGCCCAGAGCTTTCTCTTTGCAGCCCAGAAGTTTCTACCTCCTCTCTGGTCCTAAAATATGTTGTACACTTCATTGGCCTCGAGGGAGCTCCTGCCGCATGAGAGATTCAGAGGCCTGCCCTCATGATGTGTGTGCTGGTTGAGGCTGGGCAGGTACTGCTCAAGGTAGCAGTCAGAAAACTCAAGTACGTTAAGCGTAACCAAGACCCATGATGTCATCTTTAAGGAGCATTTCCTGCCTTGCAGTATAGTATTCAGCTGCGTGTTGGCAGGAAATGATTCAAAGGTTTTAGCCAGATCTTCTGGACTCATTCCTGAAAGGTAATATAAGAACCAAGAATACCTTAGTTACAATGTCTGTACCTTCTTAGACACTGAGTCATCCCAAATTATACACAGATGCGCACACCACTCACACATACACAAACAGAGACACCCATACCCACTGGCTAAGGAACCAGGACTTCCCTGATTAGAATTTGAGGCATTGTGAAATCTGGTTGCCGAGAGCAACATGCAGATACCGGCCAACTAACTGCTATATATATTAAGCAGCGTGATTTTTCTACTCACAAGTAAAAAATAGATTTAGAGGAAATGAAAGCTCCCAGAGAAGATAAACTCTGACTTCATCTCACTTTCTTTTGTTCCCTGCCTGTACTGTACACACACACACACACACACACACACACACACACACACACAGCTCAAAACATACTTCCAAGGCAAAAGCCACCTTCAGTTTATCCACATATAAATTCAATAAAGTACAAATATATTTCAGGATCGTGCATTTCTATATAAAGATAAACCTAATTTAAATAAATTGGGTTTTCCTCACTATGTGCTTTGTGGGGCTTATGAAGAAAACTGAAATTTCATTTAAAATTTCCTCCCTTGAGAGTCAAGATGCATTTGAAATCTTACACAGAGCCAGAGGTCCCTGTGCACCGAAGGGCAGGACTTACTGAGCTCACCCTGCAAATGAAAAGCTCTCTCCCCAGAGGAGTCACCGTGCCAGTGGATTGAGCAAGTGGTCACACCTCCCAGAATGAACAAAGGTCCTTTATGTTTGGTCAGTGCCACGGCCTTCAAACTCAGTTGCACTTTGTCATAAAACTCACTGATAACGCATCTTTCAAAGAGTGCGTTAGCAACTTCTGACAAACCTACACCAAGGCAACCTGCAGTAATCTTCCTTTCTCCATGACTTCATGCTGAGTGACTGTGCTTACCAGAGGGAGTAGCAGGTGGGAGGCTCAGGCTAGTGTGAAGTACAGCTAAGTGGGTAGCGCTCTCTTTGTGAGGGAGAGAAAAGAAGAAACTTGCTTATTTTACTCAGTAATAACATTGAGATAAAATATTGGTTGAATGCATCTTTGAAAACAGATTGCACAAAATTCAGAACAAAGAATGTCAAAAAATCAGAAGCACTCGGTTCCAAAGAGCTGACCTCTAAACCTAGCTGTCAAGATAGCGCCTGGAGAGGTGTCTGAGCCTGTGTGAGAGGTACAGGTGTGACAGGCACAGAACAGTGGGTCTGCTTTAATTTAAAAGTCAGATGAGGCTCAACATTTGGGGAGACCCAAGGCGTCCACTCTTGAGAGAGACGCCACGCCACACTCCTTTTGTGACACAAAGAAGCCTTTAGCAATGCCCTAATTACATTTGATTTATAGGAATAATTTTTATATTTGACTTTCTTCCTTTCTCAGTACTGGGGATCTAACCAAGGGGCACTTTACCACTGAGCTACCACAGTAGCCTTTTATTTTTTATTTGACACAGGGGCTAACCAGGCTGGCCTTGAACTTGTGACCCTCCTGCTTCAGCCTCTGCTCTGAGGATTATAGGCATGTGCCACAGCACCTGCATAATATTTGGTTTTCTTAAGTGTGGCATGATTAAACCAGCCATTTCTTAGAATAGCTTTTGTTCACAATTTTACTGGCAATTGACTGTGTGACCTTTGGCAGTGCTAAGTTATTCATTGTTTCCACTTCATTCTGCAAGATCACTTTAGATCTAGAGTAGAGGGGTGACCTTAAAATGCCTCCCAGCCTTTTCTCCATGCTGGGGATATTATGTGCATGATCTCATTTGACCCTCACAAGGTACAGAGGAAGCATCTGAGAAGCAAGTTAACCTGCTGAAGTTAACCTTCTGCCTCTAGCTAGAGCCACATTGGTACTGGAGCCCACACCTGTCTAACCCCAACACTAGTGATTTCTACACCCTAGCTCATGGCTGATGCTGCCAAGCCCTAAGAGGGCTCACTGAGACATGCGCAATCCAGCTCCCCAGAGTCTGGGCCTCTTAAAAGCATCCCGTTGGCCAGAAGAATGAGTCACTGCAGAAGGTGCCCACCTGAGATCCAGGGAGTAGCCAAAATGCTGAAGGAGTTGGAGTTAAGAAATACGGGACTTCTGGCCATGCACCTCTGGGGAGTCAGCTTCAGGCCAGGCTGGTCCAGAAGTCCTGAGTAGGTCATCTGGGGAGTGTGGAGACTGGGGTACCACTGAGAACATTGCTACGTTAGCTTCCTCTGCTGTGTGGAAATACCATCTTTCAAATGCCTTCAAATTGCTCCAAATGGATGACTTCATTAAATCAGATGTAGTTCAATCCCCCAGAATGGATTGGCTGGTGGAGCAGTGACCCCCAAAACATAAGATGCCCAGCTTTCAAGTTGTGCTTCTCATGTAGGGAAGTAACTTTTCTTTGGAAGTATTTACTTGTAACATCTAAAAAGTAGTGAGTTTCTTCTAGTAAATGTCTAACGTGTGATGGTAGTGTAGGTGACAGGACACAGAGGAAGGATCCTCGGCAGCGGGGCCAGCTAACCTGAGTCCCTGCTCAGCTCTCCTGCTAACAGGCTGAGCAGCCTCCCAGTGCTTTGTAACCTCCTTGCACTTTAGGTCTCTCTGCTGTGAAATGGCAAAGGGAAGCTGGATTCTCCCTAACAGGCTTTGCTAGCCAGATATTCTACTGATTCTTTCCTAGTCTGGTCCTGTACCCAGAAAACTTGCAGAGAGCACCTCAGGAAGGACTCTTCCCTGCTCTGCTGTCAAGGGCTAAGAAAGCACTTACCCTGGAGCTCAGTGCTTCTGCCATTTCCCTGTCTAATCTCCTGGCTCGGACAGAGGCCCTTTGTGGGACTGCTGTCTCCAGGCACGACAGCCGCCTTCAGAGCTGGCACTGTCTCCTGTCAGCCACTGCATCTTTTCTCCCAACTAAGCTGTGAGAAATCTTCTGTTTGGGAGGAAACCATACCAATCAGCCTTTGGGTCCCCAGATTCTCGTCTCTTAGCTCTTTTCCACAGTGCTGTGATCTGTAGGGCATCTTCTTCAAATCCATTTCAGAATCTAGATTTAGTGCACATTGAATTTACTTGGACATCAAAAGACCCCAAACGCTTATGCTTTTCTCGTTTTCATCAAAAGGAACATTGCAGTCCCCTGGAATATAAAAAATGGCTTTTCTGTACCCAGCCGTCAGGGGCTGAATTCAGCTCTGCCCTTCCTGAGAAAAACTTCAGCCCCTTGAGGGACCCAGATGTCATTTCCCATCACGTTCTTTCACATTCAGTGCCTCTTGCTGCTCTTTGGGTCTTGGTCACTCCATAACTAAATATTGCTTCAGCACTCGCTACACAAAGAGCCTCCTGAAAGCAGTGGGGATCACACAAGGGGCTCCACAATCAGGTCACTGTTTGCACGGACCGGTTGCCTGCACAATGCTGTGTCAAAGGAAGGTGACTCAAGAGCCCTGTCCCCCTTCTGAGCTTTCACTTGTGACTTTTTCTTCATCTAGGGAAAGAGGCTGGCTATGATCTCGCTCGACGTGGCTCGAAAAGGCTTAATGCTAGCATAAAATCGGGCATCAAAATGTCTTTGAAAGAAAGTAAATCACCTCTCAAAACTAGACAGGTTAAAAGAACACTCCATGAGCACAGAGAAGCACTGCGAAGGGTTAGCCCTGGAGGTGGCTCGGGAGGGCGTATTTTTTAGGCCAGAGTCAGTTTTCATTATATTGTTGCTATGCAAGTAAATAAATGAGCTCACTTCTACACCCAAGCTGGGCAGAAGGAATTTATAGAGAATTAATAAACCCAGGGTAGGCAACATGTGGCTTTTCCTCCACTCATAGAAAAGCAAGTAGTCATGTTGGATTTTAAACAGACAAACCTCTGTAACTTTGCAGTTTCTGACCCCAGTCCTAATGGGTGGGCAATCTTTTCCTAGGATTTTCTTTAAAGGGAAGGGGTCAACTAGTTCATTTAAGACAAAGAGGTTGTTATAAATACTGCGGTGATCTGTTAATACTTTTTAAGGGCATTTAAGTGAAATAAGTTCTTTCTAATAAGCACTTTGGAAAATCTTTCTTGTTAATGCATAAAACCCAGAGAAATATTATGAATAAATCCAAGAGCTGGGGATAGGGTGTACAGATAGGCTGGAAGCAGTCTAATTTTATTTTCTATGTATGCCAAGAAAAAGCAAATAGATGACTGCTAATCCGTGAAGCACACTTGTGGATTCAGACAGCCTCAGGTCCTTTAATGGCAGGATTACAAATGGGTGCTGTCACCGGCATGGTACAGGGGCACTTTTTAACTTCTCACCAATTACCCAGTGTATTTCCTGAGCACCACCTGGGCTGCTGGTGTCTCCCAGGTCCTAGGGTGGTCACCAGAGCCCCGTGACACACATTCCTGCTCTGCCCAGGCTGTGGGTGAGCTCCGCTGCTCAGCCATCAGGAGGACAAAGGACTGCAGCCTGGGCCATCGCAGTTGCTGCTTGGGATACTGCAGACTTGGACACAGAGAATCACAGGTCCCAGAGCTGAGCTACAAAACAGAACAGTTACAAAAGTTTTGATTGTCACTGTTATAATTTTGGTGTGTCATCATTCTTTGGAAGAAAGCCCTTTTGAGGATTCTCTATTGTTTTTAAAAATTTTGTTAAAGCTATAAAAAAAGTTTGTGATTTTTTTTTGTCATTTCTATAAACACAAAGATAGATGAATGGATGAATCAGAATTCTGAATAGAAATATAACATGAGAACATGACCAGTGCTTGTGTCCTTCCATACCCTGAGTGTTTCTCATCCTCTCTACCCAGCTCTTCTTTTTGAGGAGTAGAGGTTTTTGTCCTCTTTTTTAAGCATATACATTTAAAGTAACATATAATAATTGTACATATTTATGGATGTGGTGTGGTATTTCAGTACTTATATACAATGTGTATTTATCGTATCAGGGTAATTGGCACATCCATCCATCAGTGTGAACATTTATCACTTCTTCATGTTGGGAACATTTGAAATCCTCCCTGCTAGCCATTTTGAAAAATATAATTCCTTATCATCAGCCATAGTTCTCCTACTGTGCTATATAGAACATTAAAATTATTCTTCCCATCCAACTGCACCCCGGATACCATTAACCATCCTCTCTCCACCTCTGCCACTCCTGCTTCCCAGCCTCGGGTAACCTCTGGTATTCAGCTCCACTTGTATGAGACCAGCATTTTCCATTGCTTTGTCTTCCTTTCTCATGGCTGCTGGCAGCATGTGCAGAGAAGGGGCAAAACAGAAGAGTGTTGGAGAGAGGAGAGGCTGTGATAAGTGGATGCACCCTTGCATCAGAAGGAAGCAGTGAAACATGGCAGACCTGGGCATTCTTGAGGCAGGAGCATCTATCTTTGTGGCTGGCAGAAGGCTGCCCCCTTCCTGTTTCCCTCAGTGCTCCATTAAGCTGGCAGCGAGCACCTGAGAAGCTGAAGTCTCCTAACCTCATGACCTGGGTGCCTGCTGCCCTGCCACAGTCCCCGCACCCAGCCAGGTCTGTTACCAGGGTCTGGGGTGCTATGCTTTCCCCAGGGATCCTTTCCAAGTCTTGCTGTCCTAAAGGAAGAATTGGGCAAGAAACCTCTAAAAAGGTAGTGAGGTTTTACATTTATTAAAGGTAGAGAAAGAAGTTCTGCAGAGTGAGTGTTGGCCAATTGAATGTAGGAAAAGAAGTACACTCTGCAGAGTGCAGAGTGACATACTGAAAGGACTTATTGGCCATGAGGTTAATGGCAGCTGTCTTTTGTATCCTCCATTTTTACGTCAGGTCTGGGCTCTCCTATCAAAAACCTCCTTGATATTATGCCAGAAGAACTGAAGGTAGCCCTTCTCTGATTGGTACCAGGAGCAGGGCTTGGCGCATGTCCTGGTTTCTGTGACTGACAGGTCATGCCCACTTGCCCTCTCAGCTCGCCACGCCTTGACCTCCTACCTCAGCTCTGCGCTGGTGAGGTAAAGTGGCTACCCCAGGAAAGATCCACCTAAGGGAACTTGCTGAGACCTAAGCAGAAATTGTTTTGAGAAAAAGAGCTTTGCTTCCACACATTCCAAAGTGATGGGTGGGCCGGGGATTTAGCTCAGTGGTTCGGCAACCTGCCTCGAAAGCACAAGGTACCGAATTCGATCCCCAGTACCAAAAAAGAAAAGGAAGAAGCCAAAGTGATGGGTGCATGACCCTGCTTCTTGGAGAGACCCTCTTACATACAGCAGCTTGTGGCCTTCCACTGAAAAGGCTTCATCTGATGAGAATTCCACTACTGGGTCCTGAGCTTGGGGCCTCACCATTTTTCTCTTAGATAATTGTCCTCATCCCTCAGTTATATAAAAGCACATTTTCCCTGGGGTTTCCCATTGGAGAGTCTTGCACTGCAGTGGTAATAATGGCAATGCTAGTGTGATCAGCATAAAATAACAATCCAAGTAAATCTACTGATGGTTATCAAGGACTAAAGTTTCCTGTTATTTATTGCTTTGATTCAAAAATTCCCAGTGTCTCGCAGACCTCACTTTAACACTTTGTGGATTTGCGGAGGTCCGTTTCTATCTAATTTAAATTGACAGTGATTAAATTTTTGTTTTCTACCATGGTTTCATCATGAAACATTATGAAAGCAAACAGCCTTGAGATCTGTGAGTATTAAGACCCAGACAACTTTCTTATCCTATCAGAAATCAAGCAAGAATTGACTTGTCTCCTATATTCCTCATTCTCTTTGATTATGCATTGGACATTGTCATCTTTAAAATTCTGTAGAAATAATAAGAGGTTCTGTATCCTCAGAGAGGAGTTTGTTTCCTTCCATCAGCCTCACAGGCACACATAAACCTAATTTCATGCTTGTAGATTTTGTGGACAAGCCTGGCAACTTAAAGCCTGGCAACTTAAAGCCTGGCCACAGCCTATGCAAGGGTGGGTTTGCTTCCATGGAATCTTTACTTTAGGATGCAGCCATTCCCTTGGTGATTCGTGAAGTCCAGGGCACCACTAAACCCAAAGAAGCTATAAAAACCCCACAGCATAAAGTTTCAGACACCTATTTCAGATCAGCTGATATTCCTAGAGGAAAGCAGAATTCCTTACTTCTCTTCCAAATTTTGAGCTAGTAATTCTTTACTATCCTTTAACTCTGGTGCTATTAAAAAGATCATTCAGTGGGCTGGGGATTTAGCTCATTGGTTCCACTGCCTGCCTCGCAAGCGCAAAGACCTGAGTTCGATCTCCGGTACAAAACAAAAAACAAAAAAAAGATCATTCAAGCAGGGTGCTGTAATCTCAGCACACTGGAATCCTGAGGGAGAAGCATTGCAAGTTTGAGCTCAGCTTGATCAACTTAGTGAAAAACCAAGTCCTGTCTCAAAATAAAAAAAAGGGTTGGAGATGTAGCTCAATTCAAAGGTCCTGGGTTCAATCCTTAGTATCTACCACCAAAAAAAAAAAATCTTCTCTTTCTTCTCTTCATTTCTTAAGCTGCCTTCAGTAGAGTGTTAATCTGAATTACCTAGCCCATCATTTCTGGAAGAAAAAATTCAGAGGTAAACTCTGTAAGACCCAGGTGACAATTGCAATAGCTGTAGCTGAGGTTTAGAGGTTGACTCTGTATCAGGAATTTTAAGTACTGACCTCATTTAATGCTCAAATAGCCCAGGAAGTATTATCATTGCTATTTTATTAATGAGAAAAGAGGCTTAGAGTGAGTAAGTACCTCAGTCTTGTTCTCACAGGTATTAAGGGGTAGAGTTGGGATCTGGATCCAGCCCTGCCTGAAGCCAGCTTATGTTGTCAACCACTCCCATCTCCAAACCTCAATCCTCCAGTGAGCCAAAGACTGCTGGTCCTGTGGCCTCTAGCATGCAGCTTCTTGTGATACTAGGTTGTCACATGTCCTCAGAACTAAAGCAAGCATGATGCTTATTCCTTTAAGTTGCATTTTCCTTCTGGAGTCAAGGTAGAAAGCAGGGTTTGTTTCATTTCTTTTGTCCCAAACACTCTCCCATGTTTCTGGCATGTGGCTGAGAAGAAGCCAGATGTTCATTACACATGCATGCATGCCCGACTGGTGAAAGGGAACCACCCCAAGTTCACCCTTAGCCTCTGGTTTCACCCAGCTGCCAGTGCCTTCTATGGCTTCTGATTTCTCATCCTCCCCTAGCATTCAATCCCAGCACTCTGGGAGATGAAGGCAGGCAGATCCTCAAATTTGAGTCCAGCCTGGGCCATGTAGTGACTTAGCAACACCCTGTCTCAAAATAAACATTAAAAAGGCTGGGGATGTAGCCCAGTACAAAGGCCCTAAGTTCAGTGTCCAGCACCAGGGAAAAAAAAAGAGAGGGAGGCCTTGAGTTCTCCTCCGCTTTATGAATGTTTTCAGTGAACGCATTTATCTAGATCTACTCCACTGAAGACATAGTGGCAAGCCCTGCTTTTTCTGTCTTCATGAATACAATGGTCTGTGACATCAACGTGCTGAGACAAAAGAGGAGATGCTCTGACACAGTGAAAGCAGGCGTGACCAGCAGCTTCTGAGGTGTGTGGATGACATCCTGAGGGAGTGACAAGAGGGAGAATTTCCCTGTGTCGGGGAAAGTCTTCCCGTGAGAGAGGCATTCAGCTTGGCCTTGAAAACAGAATGATTTGGATATGAGGAGAGGAAGAAGAGCATCTTAGACAAAGGCGGAGAGGTGCGGCGGGCACGCAGGCTTGGAGGAAAGAGGGAGTTGTGGGTCTCTCTGAGGAATGGAGCTGCCCTCAGTGTGTTAGACAGGAGCACCAAAATATCTAGATGAACAGCAAGGCGAAGCCTGGCAGCCCTCGGGGTCAAAGATGTGTTTAATTTGGCCAAGACACTGTTTTAAAAAGTTGAGCCAATTTGGAAAACCAGGAGATTTCACATAAAAATCCAGATTAGTGGCTTCTCCTGAAAATGGGAAAGATCTGACAACACAGAGAGCATTTCTTCAGGGCAGCAGTTGGCCACCTCAGTCAGTAGATGTGAGCTATCTCCCCAGTACAGAAGCACAGCTGTGTGGCCCTCACAATGTACCCAATGTACCTGGGTACAGCCCCTTGCACTGCTGCAGGTATCAGCCCAGGCAAAGGTGGAAACGTCAGTGAAGACCCCTAAGGCCTCTGTCCCAGCCCACTTGGTCCCACATATGTTGGTTCTCAGTCTGTCCTCGCTCCCTGCCTGCCACTATCCGGATTTACCCTCTCTTTAGACCCGTAAGTTTAAGTGTGCATAGCTCTCAAAATTCTGAGACAAAAGTAAAATCATTAGCCCAGGGATTTATCTTAATGTCTGGCAAGCGCAAGGTTCTGAGTTTGATTTCTGGTACCAGAAAAAAAAAAAAGTAAAATCGCCCCTCTGCGCTCTCTGGGGATTTGTTCCAGGACTCCTAAGGGTACCAATATCCATGGATGCTCAGGTCCCTTATATAAGATTGTGCAGTATTTGCATAGAACCTACACACGTACTCCTGTAAACTTTAAATCATGTCTAGATGACTTACAATACCTCTGGCTATGTAAATAGTTGCTATGCTGTCTTGTCTGAGGAATGATGAAATGACAAGGAAAAACTCTATGTTCAGTACAGATGCCGCTTTCCCCCTGTATTTTCCACCTGAGGTCAGGTGTGGGTAGGCACGGAACCTGCAGACAAGGGGCTGGCTGTCTGAGACATCTTTGCCAACAGCTCCTGGAGCCGAGATCTGAGGCTGCAAATGTGCTGAATCAAACATGATTACATTCTGGGTTGGGGCAGCTGAGGTTGTTTTCTTGTTTTTATGTAAACAGATTAGAGAACTAAGGAAACCTCAACCTTTGGTCTTTTGATCCTGTCTTGCCAGGGCCTAACCTTGGAGATTTATTCGATGAACTTGTCCTTTCCTAAATGCTCAGCACATGTATGGAAATACCACACAGAACCCCATTGATTGATTAATTAATTAATATGGCTTAATTTTTAAACAGGAAAGCAAAAACAAACACAAGTGCTTACAGCCTACCCTTTTTCATTGGATTTTTTGCTTTTGTTTTCTCTGGGGTGCTTTTTTTTTCTGTTTTTAAGACAGGGTCTCACTATGGAGCTCAGGCTGGCCCGGACCTCCCAGGGATCCTCCTGCCTCAGCCCCCACCGCACTGCTGGGATTACAGGCTTGAGCCACCACACCTAGCAACAGTCTGCCCCTCTTCTCTGCTTCATAGCTCTTACCCAAGTCTGTGCCTTGGGACTCTCCCGTTAGTTGACGAGACTGCTGTACTAACATCTGAGCGAGGCTGGATTCCTCATTGGGATAGGGCCCGAAAAGCCACATCTGAAAGTGCAACGTCCCAATAGCGATGGAGGGTCACAGGGTCCCCAGGTCCTCGGCATTTAGTCTCTTCCAGCAACATTAATGAATTAAAAGCTCCGTTTGGCAATTCCTAAGGCTAAGTCCTCGTAACTATAAATACATATATAGAATGAAAGGAATGCAGGAAAGAAAAACAAATGGAGGAAAAGGAAATGAAAAACCTGACTTGATTTCATTGAGAAAATCGGTTTGCAAATGCCCTTTGCATAGCGATTCCTTCCATGCGTCTCCTTAGAAACGCCCGGGAGACTTCTTTCCAAGCGCGGCCCTCGCCAGCCCTCCGTGTGCTCCAGGCTGAGGCTCTGTGGCTCTTGGGGTGGAGTGAGGGGACTGCAGAGAGTTTCTGTGTGCTCTGTGGAGCAGGAAGACCAGGCCCTAATGAACCGCAGAACTGGAGACTCTAAGGTACAGCTCGGTCAGCACTTTCCTCTGCGGAGAGAACACGCAGTTGGCATGAAGGCCACCCAGGCAAGAGGTCAAGGGAGAGCATGTCCAAGAGATCTGGCTCCCCAATCTTGCGGATGTCACCACGCAGATCACTAAATACCCTGGACGAGTCCAGCCAGATGGAAAACGCTGGTCCCGCTGAAATGCCACTTGCGGACCAATGTGAGTTTGATTGTGCCGTCCGTCAGGAATGCTGGAGTCAGGGGAGGTTGTATTTTGTTGGCTTTTTCCCCCTGCGGTTTTCACCATCTGTTTCTTTGAATGTATAAACAAGGAAAATGACTGGTTTGGAATGCGAAGTTTTTAAAAACCAGATGACCACAGGCAGCCTCTAAATGAGAAAGAGCAAGTTGGGGTTCTGTGACATTTGTCAGGAAGTGAAATGTTAAATACGAAAAGCACGAATGCGTGGACACAAACAGAGTGTCCACGAGGCAAGGAGCAGCTTGGGGTCAGGTCCAGGTCCCAAGGTCAGGTCCTGTATTTCCACCTCACCTGATGCCGCTTTCAGACACCAGACACCAGCAACCACCCCGATCTCCTCCCTCCCCTTTTTCAATGAAGGGTACAGTTAGGCTGGCCTTCAGCACAGCCAGCCTGGCTCTCAATTAGCATTACTCCAAAGTTGGCAACCTTGGAAAGAATCCATGCCTAGAAACGAACGTTTAGGCTGAAGAAAAGCTGTGTTGTGAGCAGGTTCCATTATGAAGCCCAAACAGAGTTATAAATAGAGGAGTCGATGAGATAGACTAGGAGAAGCTCTTCACGTCTCTTCTGGACAATAGGGAATGTGGGGAAAAAAAGGGAAAAAGAAAAGCTTATGAGGGCATTAGTTGCACCGTGTGTTTTGCTTTAGCAGAGGGCATCTGCTTTACAGCAGTGGCTCCACCCAATAAACCTTAAAGCAGTAGGCTGTGGAGAGACTTGATGGAAATGCTGAGTGCATACTAATCTCTTTTACCTTCACTGCAAGAAATAATCAGCTGTGAACACCAGGGATTTTAAACAGGCATTTTAGAGCCCCCAGGGAGAAGGGCATTGGTGCATTTGGCTGTGTTCCACCCATCCGGCACAAGACAGAAGCGGAGCATTTTTCACATAGTTTTGTAGGCAGCTTGACGCCAGAGTGTTCACATTAGGGAAAGGATAAAAGATGAGGCTTTCTTAGGGAACAACTGACTCTTCTTAATTTGCAATGTGTGTTCTCAAAGACGTCGTGGGCAGTTCATGAAGTGGACACTGCTGGTGACTCTGGGGGTGGTAGGAAAGCAGAAACAAGACCCTAGCAATTTAAAAGCCCTGGGAGGAGGATTTTAAATACATTTCAAAATGAATTAAGTTCAAAGAATGTCTCTGCCCTTGCTTAGGGTACCAATGCTGTATGTAGAAAATAGGAGGAAAATAGGAAAAATAGGAGCCCAAAGGGTGAAACTTATTTCATTGGCATCAGCTTAGATGCCAGAGCCACAGTGAGTGCGTTTGACTTCTGACATCCCCGGATGCAGGAACTGTAGGGGATGTTTGCTTCCCCGGTGCAAATGGGGAAATGATGGGAGAGCAGAAGTCAAGAGACTGGAGTTGTGTTCCTGCGGCTCCTTGAATCAGTGCAGTCTGCTCTCTGTATCTCAGGATCGAAGCTGAGGGCTCAACCAACCACACGTCAAAATGTGTGGAAAACATTTGCCTCCATATTGAACGTGGACAGGCTTTTTTCTGTCATTATTCCCTATCAGTAGGCTATAATAACTATTGACACAGCCTTTACATTGGATAGTATAAGTAACCTAGGGATGATTAAGTATGCCAGGAGTCAGGTGTTGGTTCTATACAAATGCTACACCATCATCTACAAGGGACTTGAGCGTCCATAGATTTTGGTATCTGAGGAGGGTCCTGGAGCCCATCTTGCATGGATACTGAGGGACAACTGTTTCATTTGTTTCTTAAATTGAAAGCTTCCTGAAGCTTCTAAGGACAGCGCTACTGAGCACTGGCTTTGTAGAAGTATTCTAGTGACC